GGGTGACGCCATCTTGGATTCACAATCACGAGGTCAAAATTGTTTATATCATAAATATATATTTTTTCACATTTTGATCTCAAAAAACAAATACAATATCAAAAATACTGACAAAACAGTGTTCTCCCCAGGAATTTAAACCACTGTGGCGGCCTAATTTGCATATAATTTGCATATCATTTACATAATAATAGAAATTGACCAAAGCACATTTACACCCGCACAATAAACAACATATATTTTCAAAAACAAAGTGGCAGATATTTATTTGCTTTACACAGTGTTATAAACACTTTTATTTTGGGCATTTTTGTAATATTAATGAGCTCAGTCGCAGTGCAAATATTTTTTTTTTGGAGTCAAAAAATTATGTTTTACAACTTAGAAGAGTTTGAATTTAAAAATGAAACATTCTCGAAATGCAAATGCTGCAGACTAAAAAGAAACAAATAAATTGTAAAAGGTTAAATGAAACTCATTTGAAACGTTCCAGCCAAGATTATGTTCAAGACTTTCTTGATCTTATTTACTACAAAATTCTCCTTCAAAAAATCGACCACGTAATTATTTGGCGGATTGCTGGTTATTATTCCGACCATCAGCTTCTACAATGTTTACATTTACAGTAATGAACGAACAAATAACACTTCCAAACAACTTGAATCATCAAAGTTACGACGTGACATAACTTACTTCGTGATGTTATACATCGGTTATACCAATAATTTCTCTTACTCAATCCTGATGCCATGCAAAAATTAAATACTTCTTTTTTTATATGAAAAAAACGTAAAATTTGAACTAGTTTTATCGGGAGAAATTATTTTTGATCACTCGATCACTTCGTGAAAAACACAGACCGGCCATGCAATTTTTGAAAGGTAAAAGAAGTCTTGAAAGAAGAATTTTTACATGATTCACGATGATAACAGTTCAAATGTATTTTACCCAATCACGCAATAAACATGTTGTTTTTTCTTGAGTAGCGTAAACTGATCGTGAACTCCGCTTTGCCCATGTTACATCGGGGTGGAATTGATTTTGAAAGAATTTTAGCTTTCAATCTAAAGACTGCGTCTATCGTCAGAAAGTATTTACTTACAAACAAAGAGGTGCTAATTTTACAAAATTGACTTGTATTGTTTAAAGCCGATACCACATCGCACGACTATGTCTATTGTTTACAAATTATTATCCACGACTGGCAGGATGCTTGTCGGTCGGTACGTAAGTATAATAACAATATGACAATAGTGGACGCGTTTCCGTGGTGGTCCCTAGTTTTGAGTGTCCGGTCGGGCCGACCAGCGTGATGAGATCCCCAATGAAAAAAGCACTGTGGCGGTCTTGCTAATCACCGTGGCGGTGTCAGACCGGTGTGGCGGCAAATCGAAGCACTGTGGCGGGACCGCCACGCTGTTTACATCCTGGGGAGAACACTGTTATTGTTAACCAGTTGATATCGTACCATATTTGTGTCCCATGTGAAGTTTATTCATCAAGAAAGTATTTGGTATGTATTGATTTTATCGCAAAATTCTCATTTTTGAGATATTACTACACACCCCTATTCTACATCAATGCCTCGTTGTGAAGATCATGTCCACAGTTGAATCTGTCTGCCCTATGTCAGACTCATGTCAAGGATACTTTTTTTTTGCAGTCATTCAAATTTTAATTGTTTGTTTTCAATATTTCATTGTAGGTGGTTTGTGATGAAAATGGTTCTAAAGGTTATGGATTTGTACATTTTGCTACAGAAGAAGCTGCAAACAAATCAATAGAAAAAGTAAATGGCATGTTACTGAACGGGAAAAAAGTGTAAGTTTCAGATAGAACACATTGTTGACCATAATGCCAACAGGTACAATATGATGTCTTGTTAGGTGGATTTTTGGCAAAGATAAATTGTAGTTCATGGGATACAAAGGATTGTATAGATTGAGTTTTTGAGTTGATGAGAAGTCTACTTGAAAGTAGCCAGGTTACGTTCCTTTTATTTTGCTTTGTCCTTCTCCATAAGTGTGGACATATTGCCTAGATTTGGTTTGTACTGTCAGTGGATGACTACGACATTGATTGGTTGATAAGTATAACATTCTACTACGGTTATTTGAATATGCTAATGTCGTGAACATTGGATGTGACAGTTATGTTCTCCGCACACACTGTATTAACGGACAGTTGCCACAGTGGTTAGCATTGGAATAAATTTATATTGTTAATGTCACTGCCATATCGAATACCAAAACGGCAACATTGTCAGCTAAGTTGCTGACTGGTCTGCTAAGTGAGCCTGGGGATCGTTGCACGATTACAAGATTACAAGGTCAAACTAATGGTGGGAGACTTGGACACGTTGAATATAAATAGATATCATGATGCCATTGCCTTTCAATTTATTTCATTCGCTCGTATAAATTTCTATATAATAAATGGCAAAGTTATTCAAACAAAATGCATGTACAAACACATTTTGAAATGTCAGTACACAGTTAATGGTGTCTGATGTGTCATAACGTAAATGAGTGCATTTAGCCAATCGGTGGTTTGAACTAACCAGTTCTAATCGTGTAACAATCTTGAGACGTGCCTAATAAACCAGTCAGCAACTTAGCTGGCAATGATGCTGTTTTGGTGTTAGGAACAATATGCCACTGACAAGAATGAGCAAAAATCAAGGCATCATTCCCAGACTAGTATGGAAAGGGTCGAAGGACCCGCTAATTAATAGGAGGCAGGGCTCTCATTAAGTTTAAGAGCAGAAGAGAAATGTAATATAGTAAGCGGACACGAGATGAAATTAAATTTTTTGCCGACTATAAACAATAAAAATACAAGTGGCTTCCTATTATTTGTTGACAAATGTGATCGATCTATGACAGTAAAAATCTAATTACCTACCCTTGATCTGCTTAAATCCTGGATCCAAAGGGGACTTCTGATTTCCTGGACTTGCTTTTTGAGTTTGTCCGCCATTGTGCTTTGTAAATAGTATGCATGTTTTGATTGGCTGATATTATGGGGAATAACCAATAAGACTGTTTCATACTCTTGTTGCGGCTTGTACAAAATTTAAATGTCATATTGCGTACAAGATTTTTTTTTTACATCTTGGGACCCCCAGAACGCTCGTTTTGGTGCTATGAGACATGGTTTTATGGTTTCATCTTCAATGAAAAAGTGAACAAAACGAACATTGGCCGGCAAATCTCCCACAAGTAGGCAGGCAGTTTGGCTGGTTGCTGGCTGTTAATGAAAGCTGTGGGGAAATATCGAATAATTGCTCAGAAAATATTTTGGTTGGAATGCAAAATCTACAGTGTAATAGATATTTGTTTCACTGAGAGACCTGGGCTTCTTGTTGAGAAAATGTATTTCTGTGTGCTACACCCAGTGTAGATCTTTTGTTGAAAGCCCCTATTAAAGTCAGGCCAATATAAAAAACATTACAAATGGCCCTGACAAAGACCTTATGATTTCACTGTTTGACAAATTTTTCCTTCACTGCAATGTTGTGCGTTGCCTGTTTAAATTCTGCCATTGATGCACACTTAAACACAACTACCGGTAACTTGTGTTATGTTTGTTTGAACAGAACAGTTCTGTAAAAAACACATGCACAATATTTTTAAATCGCTCAATGCATATTACAAGCATTATAAGAAAAATATTGTATTTAAAAATCAAATTAAAATTCTGGTATTTGTTTCTTACAGATATGTAGGTAAATTTATGTCCCGCAAAGAACGTTACGATGCCATGGGTGGACAACAAAAGAAATTCACCAATGTATTTGTAAAAAACTTTGGTGATGAATTAGATGATGAAGGTCTGAGAGAAATGTTCGAAAGATATGGTAAGATTGTCAGTCATAAAGTGATGCAGGATGATCACAGTGGTAGAAATAAAGGATTTGGCTTTGTCTGCTTTGAAGATCCAATTGATGCTGAAAACGTAAGTACAGTTGTCAGTCTTTTGTCTTGTTTTCATGTTTTGGGAAATGATTATATTTAATCTTGGCCTTGAAATTTGTTTGTGTAAGTCCTAAAGTATTCGTACTATCTGATCCCTGGTTGTGTAAATACTATTGTTTCTGACGAGGTTTGCACAACGTTGATTACACAATCTGTTCTTTCACTTATAGGCATGTGATGACTTGAATATGAAAGACATAAATGGTCGTATTCTCTACGTTGGGAGAGCTCAAAAGAAAATAGAACGCCAGGCAGAATTACGCAATAGATTTGAGTTGATGAAAGCTGAACGTGCTAATCGCTACCAGGGTGTTAACTTGTATGTAAAGAATCTTGATGACTCGCTAGATGATGAACGTCTTCGTAAAGAATTCATGCCTTTTGGCACAATTACTAGTGCTAAGGTTTGTGATATTTGCATACCAATTTGCTATTACAGCCATCTTGATAAAGCTGCTTGCATATCCTGGGGTTGTCAATGTATCGTATACCTATATCATAACAAGGTTACAGTGTATAACCCGGCTATGCATGCATGAATGTTCATTCTCTTCTTGTATTTCTAAATGGTAACACAACCAGTCATCCAAGAAGACATTACATCAGATTATTAGGATTTTATTTTTTCAAATTGATATAGTAGTCAGTAGATTTAGTCAACAAGTGAAGTTTATTAGAAAACCCTCTGCCTAAGTTTATTAGAAGTTAAGTAAGCAGTAAATTGATTTCTTTGCCTGTATTCTATTGCCATGCAGTATTTTTTCCTGACACTTTGTACATTGTGTTACAGGTGATGTCAGAAGGTGGACGATCTAAAGGATTTGGATTTGTGTGTTTCTCCTCTCCAGAAGAGGCTACAAAAGCAGTTACTGAAATGAACGGACGTATCGTTAGCACTAAACCATTGTATGTTGCATTAGCACAAAGGAAAGAGGATCGTAAAGCTCATTTGGCTTCACAGTTCATGCAGCGCATGTCTGGACTTAGACTTCCTGTAAGTGAATTTTTGTGAATCTTGCCTGCTCGCTGTCTTGGTTAATGCTCTATTTGTGAGTTGGATAAAGACTCTCTCTACCTAAGTTGATTGTTTCACAATAAACTTTTATCTGTGTGGCTTGGTTCTGCTTATACTGGTGGTATCATAATTTTTGTGATTTGATTACAGGGACAAGCTCAGATGGGTCAAATGTATCAGTCAAATGTATCTGCCTACTTTCCACAAACAGTACCTCAAACACAGAGGGGATTCTTTGCTGCTCCTACCCAAGTAGCTCAAGTGAGAGCTAGTCCACGCTGGCCACAATCTTCACAGCCTAGACCAGGTGAGAATGAAACAATTCCTTTGTATCTGGTGTTGAACACTGCATATGATCCAATTCTTTGTTTCTGCTTAGCATTCCCTGATTGTCTTGTCTCGATATTACCAGCATGCAGGACATCTAGTTAATCTATTTATTGCCTACCCACAAGTCGTGAATCAATTTTAGACTTCAGGCTGTTTTATGACCTGTATGTTTTTAGAAAAACATAAGTTGATAATATTACGAGGTTATTACGAGGATACTGCAAAGTTTGCACGAAGACAGTACAGCCGGAGTATCAAACAATGCGCAGCGTACTGTCTGAGTGCATACATCTTTTCCTCCCTGGGATACATCATTGGAATGCCGAAATTCATGATGAATATATACTTGGTACAATTACGGCATGCTGTACCTTGTGGCATTAAGGTGACAGATGTATAATAATACTGTGTAACATGCAATAACTTTAACGTGAATGTTATTTGAACAAATGAAAACTAAGCCAAAATGCAGGTACATGTTTATACAAACACGTCACGAACATTACAGTCAGTACCAACACCAGATGCAAATGACATATTGCAAGTGGAAATTGTACTTGTGTTGACATCATTCAGATAATTGACCTTAACTTGGGCTTACACCCCAGTGTCAGTAAATATCTGAACTAGTGCACTCCACTCATGCTATATTTTATACTTATAGTTAAACTGCATGGCTGAGTAAATGTTGTCCTACTGTGAAATTAATATGCCATCTTTTGTTTTAGCACAAGCATCAGCAGGTTTCCAGTCAATGCCAAATGCTGCAGCTGCTCAGTTCCGTGCAGGAACTCCCAGAACTGCAACCAGTAATGTGAGACCAGTAACACCAGCTGGTAGAGGTGTTCCTCAACCACCCACAGCAGCTCAAAGGGTTGCTGGTGTAATGCCAGGACAACAACAAGCTGCTGCTGCAGCGGCTGCTGCTGCCCAGCGTGGAGTGCCTTCTGCACAGCCTAGAGCAAGTTACAAATTCACTACTACAATGAGAAATCCACCACCTCAGATACCAAACCAACAGCAGTCTGCTCTATCTCAGGTATGTGTAGGCAATAGTCCATGAAACAAAAATCTGTTTTAGGCTTTGCAAAGTCTAAAAACAGGGACTTGTTGAACAAATTTCTGGACGGCGTCCTTGTTCTTGAAATTATTGTATGATCGTTGTTTATGACTGTTTTGGAAATGTATGTGGGCTGATTTCATTCAAATATATTGAAGTAATGCACATTTTGACCAAGTTTTGTTTAGTCAAGCCTAGTAAAAAGTCTAATTTTCCAGATTTTCAGAATTATTTTACTGTGGTTACTACCAAATCTGCCCATTGTATGTGGATGAAGGATTTTTTACACCAAGACTATTTCAATCTTTCCCGCTAAGTTTGAATGGGCAACAATCTTGCATGTATTTAAGTCTAATTAATTTCATGTTCTATTGTTAGCAAACTCCTCAGCAATCTGTACAAGTGCCTGGTCAGGAACCATTGACATCATCTATGTTAGCTGCTGCTCCACCACAAGAACAGAAGCAGATGCTGGGTGAACGTCTCTTTCCGCTGATTCAGCTGACTCACGGTGAATTAGCCGGCAAAATCACTGGTATGTTATTGGAGATTGACAACTCTGAATTGCTTCACATGTTGGAATCAAGAGAATCTCTCAATGCAAAGGTGAGTAATGCTGTAACCTTAAGGTAAAAGCTAATTCTCAGTAACATAGCAACCAGTGAACCTGTCAGGAACTTTAAAATAGTAGATTTTCCGTTGTCTTGAGATTGACTCTATGCGATTTATCAAGTGTTGGATTATTAAACACACGTGTCATTCTACAGTGAATCTAGTTGTATAAATAATGAAAAGGCAATACTTAATGTGAAGTACATTATTTCGCCAGGTTTTTTAGCACCTGTTAATGTGCAGCAACGTCTAAATATGAATGTTATTAAGTACCCAATATTTGCTGTTGTGATTTGCTTTGCTTTAGGTTATTTTATAGTGTGTTTTGTACTTGTATATGCAAAATGTTTGTTATGATGCCATAAGAGTTTCATTTCTGACAGCGAAAATAATGAAATAGCTCTATTAATGCATCTTCATTAACGTAACTTGTGTATTGATTTGTAGGTTGAGGAAGCTGTGGCTGTATTGAAAGCACATCAAGCCAAGGAGACCACTGTCAAGCCTGGCACTGAAATAAAACCACCTAGTCTTCAGTAATGATAAAATACCTAATACTTTTAATTAGGAAACAAAACACCGAAAAAAATAGCAAAAAACTACACCAATAAAAAATAGCAAAACACAAAAACCAGTTATGTACGTGTGTATGTCAAAGCTACGGACATTGATTTAACAAATAGAAAAATATTGAAAAAGTAAACAAAAAAACAGGAAAACTTTTTAAAAAAAACCATCAAATATTTTTTTTTTTTTTTGTTAACCACTAAAAAAGATAAAACATCAGGTAAATGGTACTATTAGAGATGAATGTTTGTCTGCATGTCTGTTCCCAGACTGTTTGCATAACTAGATTGAATGGCTGCAATGAGTGCCAAAAATTAACACAAGATTTATACTAATCAGATCTGTTTCGTGAGCAAGAAGGTACAAACTCCTTTGTGTGACTACCAGTTAACTTCCCCGGAAATCTGGACAACTGTGGATATTACCAGAGATGCAGATTTCAATAGGAATGAGCAAGTTAATTCGGACTCTTTAACATTTTCGGAGAAAAATTGAGCCCAGTAATTTAAAAACAGTCATTGCAGAGGGGGATAAATTTGTATGTACTATATCGCTTAATACATAGGTGTTCATATTTGTTACAACTGTAAAAATGTGCATGTTGTGATAGAAGCATCCTTTTATACAGCGATTGATTGGGAACATGACAATTGTTGGTTTGTAGCCAGTTTGTAACAACCTGTTAAGGCAGTGGTAGGTTATTAAGTGTACAGAAATACCAGTATTTGTAATTTGCTTTTCACTGTCTCGGTTGCACTGTAATGAAAATTGCTAGTTGACAACCTTGGTTACAAACAGTAATGTGTCTGGGATTGCATGTCGTTTTCAGTTAAGCCAGTTTTCCTGCTTGATTGTGTTACTTTACTGTAATGGTACATTTTAAGTTAAATGAAGAGAGCAAGTCCAACCTTGACAATGTTTTTGAAAAGTTTATTGAGTTTTTAAAAACTTGAGAATTTGCATATAATCTCATAGTTAAGTTTTGATTATAACCCCATCGCATGTTACCTTCTCTGTCACTCAGTTGAGTGAGTCTTTCCTCTAAAAGGATTGAATACAGTAAAAAAAAAAATTGTATTATGCTATGAAATTTTTTCAATGTTATTTTTCTAATATAACTATAAAACGTTAAAGACTGAGTGATGGACAGTTAAGTATTGCTGCCAATCAGGAATTTTGGAGTGTTGGTTGAACTTGTGCAGATATTTAGTCTCCATTTAGAACCATTAACCTGATTGACAACTTTTGTTTACAAACTATTAAATAAACTCTTGTTTCACTATTTCATGAGTCTTTGTTTTCATCGGGTATTTGCTCGTGTGCTATGCTTTGTAGATTTAAGAGTGAGCTGACCAGTTTATAGTTATTGGATATTAACTGTAGTGTTTAAACAAAACTAGGGACAATGTGAAGTTGCCCCATGTTGGATACTAAACAAGTCATTGTCAATGACACGTCCCCGTTCCGTTCATATTTGAGTGACATGTACATTCAAAGCAGATTATGAGCGAAATCTCAGACCACTGAAATGCACCTTTTGATGCATTTTCAGCCTTAAAGTGGCCGCCATTTGGCTATCGTTAATGAGATCATGAAACAAATGCACATATCTATTTGTGACATTGATGTACCATGTGTGTGTGAAGTTTGAACTTTATCAATCCAGACATGTCTCGAATACGGATCCAGAACTGAATTCTTAGTTTGAGGAACATGTGTATGCCAACAATTATTTGAGATTTAAGTTTAAACCCTATTGTACATTATAGTGCGGTAGATATATGGGTCTCGTATAAACAAAACTGACAACCTTGTGCAGATCAAACGAGTACAAACTGAGGTATCGAAGGAGTCATTGGTGGTTATAAGTGTAAGTTGCGCTCAGGTCAAACATTATACTCTGATTTCCATAAGAGTGGTTTGTGGGAAAATCAATGTTTACCAACACAAATGTTGCACATGCACAGTGTGACAACCCTTGCCATTATAATGCCAGTCAGATAGTCTGGGACTGGTGTTTTGGATTTTGTGTGTCTGTCGTACATTTTTTGCAAGCAAGGACAAGTCATAATGGAAAATTTATTTACCACAATGTGTTTTTCATTCTTTTGACATGTCAAGTATTTTTGTCCTTAGCATGCTGAGCCAATTTCATTCAAACTTCGTATCAACATCGCTCATGGTTAGTTACTGATGATGATGCATGTCAGTTGTGATTTCATTCAAGATGGTCGATTGGTGGCCATTTTGTTTGTATTACAGATGTTGTTTTTAGATATACTTTCACAGGTTTGGTTTAAATTTGGTACAAGAGCAAGCCATTTGCATTAAAAAAAATTATATCCAGTGAAGTACAAGGCTTTATTTGACTTGAAACTTATTGCCCAAACCATCTAGATATTTTGGGGAAATCTTCATACTTTTGAAAGCATTCAATAGTGAATCCTGTCAGCAATTCAGCCTGGCAGTGAAACCTGTGAACCTGCCCCAAAACTGAATAAACTGGCTTAAATATCTACGATTACACTCACTTATTTCTCGCCAAATATGCTAATTTTCCCCAGACAGGTCTTGCATCCGCTATCACTTACCCTTGTTTGCCGCTTATAAACTCTAAAAATTCCTACGACAGTCATATACCGAAATTATGGCAAGATCTGAATAATCAACTTACCGGAACAAGTATTTTGAATTCAGTTGAGATGTGGACGTTTGAAGAATAGGTTTGTAATACCGATACTTTCAAAAATGAACAAGTACACAGTGAGACACTATACATTATAGAACAAAATTTTGACACATTGAGGTATATCCTTGCCATAGCAACAATAGTAAATTTCACTAAAACAGACAAAACATGATATTTTGTACATAGGTTTTCCCAGAACCGAGTATGATGACCCCATCCATTTATTTCTTCCTGTTTAAAACATGAAATGTCACTTTGAAGTAACGACCTACCTTAATGCACATTTTCAGATTGCATTGTGGGTACCATGGACACATTTTATCTAACACTGGAAATTCTAGTGTAATATAGGAACATGCAGACACATAATTAGTACCAGGATGGCAATAAAAACGACCGTTTCAAAGTTGTAAAAATTAGAATTTATTGTATTTATCCCTCTTAGCCAATAGAACCTCTTTAAAATACAAACTGTATATTAATAGGAAGGCACATGTATAGGTAGGAAACTGTACAACTGGAAAATAATAAACAAAAATGTTTATTTAAAAAATATGTGGAATAAAATGTACAAAATGTGATTGGAATATTTGTGTTTTAACCTTTGATATAATATTTACAATCTGGGTTGTTTTATGGCTAGCAAGATAATAAATTAAAAAAACAATTCTGTAAGCAGTACCAACAAAAAAATGAGACTCCCAATCTAGATTACGTATTTCAGATTTTAAAGACTCATACCTGTGTATGCAACAGACGGTCATAACATGTTGTTTACAAATAAATGTCTACCCATGAGCCTTTGCATTTTTAGCATGCACTGTGATCATTGCTTGGGACTCCTGTGTGTGCGCAGGTCACAACCTCTCCGCTTTAACATACTAGTACATCATGTATTGCTCTATTAAAAGTGCATCTCAGATAAGATCGTAGCCTGATTTATGTTTGTGAACACTGAAAATTCTGGTTGAGTTTAGAAAACTAGAAATACATCTCCATCAACGCATACACTCTATACTGTTTATTTTTTTAAAGATGAATATGGATGAAAACATATATTATTTGAATTGTTGATACTCCATCCTGTACACCAAATCAGAATATGATTTATGATAAAATAAAAATGTTCCATTTGCAGGACACACACAACAGTATTTGTTAAATCAAAATTACCGGAACTAATACGCATGTACAGTGATTGTTATTGTACACACCAAAACAACCAGTGCACGTACGTATTGGAGAATTTCATAGTTTCATCAAACGATTTCTCAGATTATGCTATCAAAAACAGCGTTTTCAATTCATGAAAAATCACAGTCCAATGTATCAATCTAAAATATTAAAAATTACATGTCCTCACCCATATAACATTAACATGCACGAGTATGAGCTTTTAATAGAGCAAGTACGGTATCACAAGATAATAGCATGGATTATCAAAACTATTCACATTAACACGCCAGCAAAATTTAAATGACTGATTGAAAATAATATCTACAATAATGTGTTTGAATATAGAAATCAAATTTATTGTGATTGTGGCAACTGGTGAATGAATCAAGATCAGTGTAAAATCTGTATTAAAAGCCGCATCCCTAATAGAAGTCTCACCCAATTTTTTTGAACAATTGAAAATCAAAAATTCACCATTTCTCATATGTGTAGATGCTCTAATAGAAGCCGCATCCTCTCTGTTGCATTGTACCATTTTAATAGAAGCTGTGGCTTCAAATACAGATTTTACAGTACCTTGTTTTGTTAGCTTCTATGTAATAAATAAATATACAAATATTTGAGTCCAAAACACATGCTTCCAATAGCAACAAGCAACAGGAAGATAAGTTGAAAACATTGCTCAACAAATATTCATCCCTTGTGATAATTTTAATTCATTTTCTATTTCAAATGGACTTTATAAAAATAACTTGTACATAACTGTAATATTCCATGATCAGTGCAGGCTTTATCTCAGTAAACCTGTATGAACAAATAGTCAAATGAAATATACAATACATAGTCTAGTGATTCAAACTGTGATTTTTAAAATAAACAAAAAGATAACTTGTTAAATACTGATTGATTGCTGGTGTAAATGTGTAAGTTGATTTGATAGATAAAACCATATTAAGAAATGTATGCACTGGTCATGTGACCAACAGCGTGAGTAGCCAAACAGTGACCGCGTTGTAGACGCACTAATGAGACAAGCCATGATATTGGCAATAATTCTCCACTTCAAACTTGAAAGTTCTCTGCTCGTCATACTAAAGCAGAGGGATTGTCGCGAGCGTGTTCTTGAAACTTGAGTTCCAAGTGGCGTACAGTATACAACAGATTGTTTATTTACATCAAAACATGTGTTCCTTGTAGTAGTAATATGACTAAAAATAAAAACGGCCGTTATTCGGCCATCTTTGATCTGATTATGAAACACACTGATATGTATGATGTATGTGCCAAATACGAATGAAAATGGTACATAAATTGTGGAAATATAGTAGTGAGGCCAAAAAGTCAGATGGCTGTCAATCGGCCATCCTTGACCAGATTTTGAAACAAATTGTCGTGGACATGCATTCTAACATGTATAAAGTACATGTATGTGCCAAATTTGAATGAAAACTGACAGAGCACGTCCAAGATACCGCATAAAAAAAACAAAAACAAGATGCCTGCCAGTTGACCATCTTTGATCCAATTGCAAAATGAATCGTCATGGACGTGTATCCTAACATGTATAATCTATGTACCAAGTTTGAATTACAACTGACAAAGCATGTCCAAAATACAACATTTAAAAAAAACAAGATGGCCAAGGGATTCTGAGATATTACTCCGGACGGACGCACAGACGCACGGACGGGGACCGAATAATAAGTCCCCGTTTTCGGACTTTGTCCGAACAGGGACTAAAAATAACAGATGGCCAGAAAATTTCAGTGTATTTTTTCAGGGCGAAGTTAATTTAAGCAGTGAAGTTGTATTAAAAAGCAGGTGTGGTTCTGGTTTATGAGTAGTCAGTATCAACAGATGGCATCAGAGAAAGATTTCTTGATGGGAAATTAAGTTTATCTTGTTTAGTACTTCAAATCAAAGTAAAACAACCAGTGTACAAGTAGTGAACATCACAGGCTCATCAGGGAGTTGTTTTGAGCTCAGAACAGCCCTCTGTCCTATAGTGTTAACATTCAGGTGCAGCATGATAGACTGACCAGCAAGTATTTACTCCATCACCATTATAGAGTAGGTTATTGTCCTGTGTATAGTTTTATTTAAATGGCAGTGTCTAAATATATACCCTGGTTTTTGTACATCTGCTGATGTCAATTACAAGCGAAAATTAAGAATTTTACAGTAATACATAGTTTATGTTCATTTCAATTAAAGGCTATACTGTAAAACCATTTATTTTACCAACTGTGCATTGTCTTAAAGGTTTAATAAAATATTATAAATCTTGACTAGGTAACTTTCTACTCACTAAAACATCTTGTGTGTTGTGTGAAAGGCGCGGACCAACCATTTGCAACACAAATCAAATGATTGGATTAAGAATTTGTCAGAATGGTGGAATATTGCTTTGAGATACCCTTATTTCATTAAAATTGACCATTATCAAAAGTGTATAGCTCATTAATTTGGTGTAAAAATATTTTCACATTTGTTGAATCTTGTGTGATGTTTTGACGTCACAATGGCGTTATAACCTTTGTTTGTCTCGTTTTTACATTCAATTTCTTGCATAACATCGATCTCGCTGTAAGAAAAATACAAGAAAAACAACACAACTTGAGTTTTCTTTATCTGAGATTTGTAAACAATCCATTCCCATGTCTGAATGGAAGCATAGCTTTATTTCCATATCACATGGACTGTTCTGAGTCATAGTTCTATATGCTCATGCAGGATTGTGGTAGACCAATAACAGAGTGTGAGGTTTTCCAGTATACTGCCCTCTATCATTTATATAATTAGATTCAACCTCTTTGTGGAAAATCTCATTTCTCATCAGAAATAATAAATTTTTGATTCATAATTGAAAGAATGTTATGTAAATTTGCATGACAAAAACAGTGCATTATGTTAAAAACATAAAGTGATTATTGCATTTTAGTAAAAACACCAATTCTGTTAGAATGAACTAGATTCAGTCCGCTAATACATGTACAAAGTCAACAGGGAAGAAACCTTTCCGATGTCGCTGGCCTTCTATTTCTCCAACCTATAAACAAAAAAAAACAATCAAACATTAAACAAATTCTTTGCATGACCAGATCTAAAGAAGTACTGGTACCAGTATTTAATAACATCCATATATACACTGTTATAATATGCAAAGATTATGGTATGAACTGCTTTGTTTCTAATTTCTTTTTGTATCATTCAATCCACGTAAAACAGGGCCATGTTTACTAATAAAGATGTGACTGACAGAAAATGCCAAATCTGTCAAAACAGTGAAATTGAAGATGAGAAACACTCTCCTTCAATGTAGTCATTACACAGAATTAAGAAGCACTTTTTTTTACAAATTTAACATTGTTCCTGATATCTGTTCAGCAGAACAGCATTTTATCAAATTTTTAAAAAGCACACATCAAGAAACCATTATTGAACTTGGTCAACTTATCTACAGTTATTTTCAAATGAGAGAACAAAGTTTGAATAAATAAATTTACCAGCTGTCTCATATCAGAACCATCAAAAAACAAGTCATTGAAAATGACACAGTCCC